CGCAGAGGTCCATCCATAAATTCCGCAATAATCCACTTATTTGTACTTGAGCAATAACTTATTATATAAACTCAAAATTTGTAAGACTATGATTATTCACTTTTCGTCAATTCGCCTTCCAACAGAAATTAGTAATGGTTACTTTACCAAACTAGTAATATATTATGTCAAGTTATTCAAGTACGAATGAGTTAATTGTTGTGGAACTTATAGGTGGACCTCTGCGGGACGAGCGCAGCGAGTTCCGCAGCCATCTATTCATCAATATATTGTTTAATTACGATACTAACCTGACTCACTCAAATGTGAGTTATTCTCATTAGTTTAAAAACTACATGTTTCAGGTGAATGTCTTACTTGAACAGTTCAACAGTATATTGATGAGTAGATGGCTGCGGAACTCGCTGCGCTCGTCCCGCAGAGGTCCATCCATAAATTCCGCAATAATCCACTTATTTGTACTTGAGCAATAACTTATTATATAAACTCAAAATTTGTAAGACTATGATTATTCACTTTTCGTCAATTCGCCTTCCAACAGAAATTAGTAATGGTTACTTTACCAAACTAGTAATATATTATGTCAAGTTATTCAAGTACGAATGAGTTAATTGTTGTGGAACTTATAGGTGGACCTCTGCGGGACGAGCGCAGCGAGTTCCGCAGCCATCTATTCATCAATATATTGTTTAATTACGATACTAACCTGACTCACTCAAATGTGAGTTATTCTCATTAGTTTAAAAACTACATGTTTCAGGTGAATGTCTTACTTGAACAGTTCAACAGTATATTGATGAGTAGATGGCTGCGGAACTCGCTGCGCTCGTCCCGCAGAGGTCCATCCATAAATTCCGCAATAATCCACTTATTTGTACTTGAGCAATAACTTATTATATAAACTCAAAATTTGTAAGACTATGATTATTCACTTTTCGTCAATTCGCCTTCCAACAGAAATTAGTAATGGTTACTTTACCAAACTAGTAATATATTATGTCAAGTTATTCAAGTACGAATGAGTTAATTGTTGTGGAACTTATAGGTGGACCTCTGCGGGACGAGCGCAGCGAGTTCCGCAGCCATCTATTCATCAATATATTGTTTAATTACGATACTAACCTGACTCACTCAAATGTGAGTTATTCTCATTAGTTTAAAAACTACATGTTTCAGGTGAATGTCTTACTTGAACAGTTCAACAGTATATTGATGAGTAGATGGCTGCGGAACTCGCTGCGCTCGTCCCGCAGAGGTCCATCCATAAATTCCGCAATAATCCACTTATTTGTACTTGAGCAATAACTTATTATATAAACTCAAAATTTGTAAGACTATGATTATTCACTTTTCGTCAATTCGCCTTCCAACAGAAATTAGTAATGGTTACTTTACCAAACTAGTAATATATTATGTCAAGTTATTCAAGTACGAATGAGTTAATTGTTGTGGAACTTATAGGTGGACCTCTGCGGGACGAGCGCAGCGAGTTCCGCAGCCATCTATTCATCAATATATTGTTTAATTACGATACTAACCTGACTCACTCAAATGTGAGTTATTCTCATTAGTTTAAAAACTACATGTTCCAGGTGAATGTCTTATTTGAACAATTCAACACTATATTGGTGAGTAGATGGCTGCGGAACTCGCTGCGCTCGTCCCGCAGAGGTTCACCCATAAGTTCCGCAATAATCCACTTATTCATATAGGGTGTTTTTTTATATATTGACACTCCACCTACCTCCTTTTACAGGTAGAAAAAAAGGTGTAAATACAAAAGTTGTACAGTTTTGGTTGAATTTTTAGAAACCATGATCAGAAACAAAATTTGAATGTCAGAAATGTGAAATTTTGCATACTTCCAGCTTTTTTCAAATGAGATGCCCTATATTTCATTCTATATTCTTGAAGTGCACAATGCCCCGATTCCAAAAATATATAGTTTGTCTATATTTGATTGAAGAGTCTCTCATATATTCGGCTCCAAAAATTGTAAAAATACTATCCTACTATACTGATTTTGTGAACCATTCTACCTGTACAGATGAAATCTGCAGGTAAAATTTGAGGTAGGTACAGTGGGAATCATTGCAATTGGCACATACTCTTTAAAATCCCTCGTATTGAGTCAAAATTCTAACCAATAAATCTATACAGGGTCTCCAAAATACCATGGGCCACCATTGGTATATCAGAAACGGTAAGAGATACGAGGGCGGTTAAATTAGAAAAAAGTTGCCATTTTCAAAGGGTATTCAAAATATATTTTCGTTGTTGCCAAATTTTTATTAGTTTCCGAGATACAGGGTGATTTGTGAAAAACACCTAAAACTATTTTGTCGAATATTTCGAAAACTATTAATTTTAGAGACAATTTTTAGATTTGTAAGTTCCATATGATTTGTTTTGCTCTACAATATGGTGTTTTGTAATGTTAAATCCGACGTTTTTTTTTCAGGATACCATAATCAACTTAATTTTTTTGAATACGGACCTGGAGTTTTTATTTCATATTTTGAAAGGAAATTTAATTTGCAATCTTACTATGTGTCATACATGTATATCTTCCAACGTTTCAGTAAAAAAATCCCGTATCAAGCATATTTATTCTAAATTTACCCTGAGTACGGTCCAGCGCTTTCAGTTTTTTGCTAGTTTTGCATCAATGGATTTGAGAATGGTTTTCATACAGTTCAATAGCATTTTTAGCATTACGAAATGCTCTTGCATAAATGGATAAAATATCGGTCTTTTCTTCATTCGAGAACTTTATTTTGATATTTAAATGTCTCGAATAATTGATAAATGACAAAATGAATAAAATAAATGAATTAATCTGACACTGACAACAAGCGCTGCACCGTAACGAGCGTAAATTGAAAAAAAAAAATGCTTGATGATGTTCTTTTAACCGAAACGTTGGAAAATATACATGTATGACACATGGTAAGATTGCAAATTAGATTTCCTTTCAAAATATGAAATAAAAAATCCAGGTCCGTATTTAAAAAAATTAAGTTGATGATGGTATCCTGAAGACGAAACGTCGAATTTAACATTACAAAACACCATATTGTAGAGCAAAAAAAATCATGAAACTTTCAAATTTAAAGAATGTCTCTAAAATTAATAGTTTTCGAAATATTCGACAAAATAGTTTTAGCTGTTGTTCACAAATCACCGTATCTCGGAAACTAATAAAAATTTGGCAACAATGAAAATATATTTTAAATACCCTTTGAAAATGGCAACTTTTTTCTAATTTAACCGCCCTCGTATCTCTTACCGTTTCTGATATGCCAATGGTGGCCCATGGTATTTTGGACACCCTGTATACACCTTTTTCAATTGTAATTCAGAAAATCAAAGTTTAATTTCAGAGAAGGGAACATGTATTTCAGAATAGGAACTTATAATTTGGAAAAGAGAAATTGAATTTGAGAATCGTAACTTTAATTTCAGAATAGGGAGAATGAAATTCAGATTAGGAAGTTGAAATTCAGAAAAGCAAGATTGTAATTCAGAGTAGTAATTTGAAATTCAGAAACTGTAAATCATAATTTAGAAAAGGGAAATTGTATTTCAGAAGGTGAAAATTTAATTTCAGATAATAGAATTTGTAATTCAGAAAAGTATAATATGCACCTTCCGATAAGCTATGTACATAGATACAGAGCACAGGTACAGAGAGTGAAAGATTTTTCATAAAAATGTAAGTATGTGCTTAGGTACCTATAGTTATTTACCTTCTCAATACAAACCTAATTTGTATGAATACGATTTTTTAATTTGGATTCGCATTCGCAAAGAACATTTCTATGTAAAACTCTACTGACGATAAATTAATAAACGGGGATAGCAATCCCGTGTTTAGCGACACAAGATTAAAAATTGAAAAAAAAAATACATTCATATATATTTCATGATTCTGAATTGCATATGTTACCAATTCTGAATTACATTTTCCTATTTCCGATTTTCAAAATTGCATATCTGAATTACAACATACATTTTCTGGAATTAAATTTTTCATTTCTGAATTACATATTTCCTATTCTGAATTAGAAATTCCCATCTCTGAATATTATGTTCTTTTTCTGAATTTCAAATTCCATATTCTGAATAATAACTTCCTATTCTGAATTACAATTTCCATTTTCTGAAATTTAATTTCTCTTTCTCGAATACATTTTCCGCTTTCTGAATTACAATTGGAAAAGTTGTAGTGCAGCATTTTGCTGTTACCTACTGGTGTGTTAGATTTGACACATTACGAGGGATATTTATATAGTGTGTGCCAATTGCAATGATTCCCACTGTACTTGGTTTCTCTGATAGTATTCTTAAAATTTTTAGAACCAAATATGTTGGAGCCGGCTCAACCAAATATAGACAAACTATATAGTTTTGGAATCGGGAAATTGTACTCTTTGAGAATATAAAACCAAATAATAGGGCATCCCATAGATAGTGCATATTTAATAGGAATATCTCATGTGTCTTAATCTTAATAAACTATTTCTCATAAGTAGTATTGGTGTTTGATTTTCTAATGCAAGTTTTCATAGTCAAATACACACTCTAATGATTTAATGATTTGAAAAAACGTAGTTAAAAAAATTAATTGAGTATACCCTAATGGTTTACACCTTTAACAAGGCAACTTATCTGTCTACTGATTTCTACTGATATTTAGACTGGTAATCTGCTGACAAAACAAAATATGACCTGGCAATACTGACTCTGTTCCTTGGTTGCGAGAATAAATTCCCTGCTGAGTGGCTGAGCTTAGCCGCTGGGACCACCTGAATGTACCCAATGTTTTCTCCTTTGAAGTACCTACCAACAATCGAAAAATCTTTCACAGGACTGACTGATGGAATAAAATTGTAACTGTCTGATTTTTTTTTCTGAAATAACAATATCACAACCTCGTTGGTACAAGTGTTTGCAAAATATGTTTTTTTTTTCAGGTGGTTCTCTTGGTAATCCATCAGGTAACCCTAGCCTTAGGAGAGGCACAAATGCCATAGGTTTGGTGGCTTGATAGTTTGTTTTTAATGGCGTTGTTGTATTTGAAGTTTTTTTTAACATTTTTTCTAGTGTGAGATGTAATGATACCTAAAATGTAATGTGAACAAATGCAACACTTGGTTCTAGTCAACGTATTTCTCGATCGTTCTAGTAAGTTTGTTAAGTTCTTGAATCTGTCGCTACGAGTTTTTGCTGCATTTGCATAGTATTGCTTCCTCCTTCCTCTCCCCTGCAGGCGTCGTTCTTTATTTTCCTTGTGGCGGATTTTAAGACTATGACCATATTGCTCAGAGAACCAATGATCAGCCGAAATCACATCCAATTCAACAATAATAAAAACCTTTCGGCGATCACTAACGGCAATTGCACCTTTAGGGAAACTGGCCCCACGTTGGGCGCCAAAATATAACGCTCAAAAATAACGCTTAATGCAAAGCTGAATTCCTAGATTCTAGAGGTAGGAAAGAGCTCGAAGCAAGAACATTTCGTGGTTAATCTCTGGGGTTTATTTTTTTTAAAACTTTTATCTAGGGGTTGTAGTGCTATTTGATAATCACGTGGCGCTCAAACCAAGAACATAACCCATGCCCGTCTCCCTGTCTAAAAACTGGCGGCCTCTACAGTTCCCTCACTTGAGAACCTGAGTTCCAGTTCTTTCCTACCTCTAGATTCTAGGAATTGAGCTCTGCATTAGGCGTTATTTTTTAGCGTTGCAGAGCAAAAGCACAAATCATTACTATATTGTTCAGTTATCATTTTGCTGAATAGAGTGGTGATAGTAATAAAATAAAAAAAGTACACTATTATAGCTATAGATTCATAATAAATTGATATTTGCAATTTGTACTCCTTTATTTTTAATTGTATTCATTTTCAAAATAACTATACACGACATTTCAATTTGATGAACACGTGAACTGCTCACAAATGAGTGGCAAACGGCGGACAAGAGTGAGAGGCTATTAGGACACAAAATCTCAACAGAAAGAAAATTTGAAATTTCGAAAGGGCCATTATGAAGCACCGCACCCCACAAAGAAGAGACGAGAACTCTATCATGACTATCATTACAGATTAGATACAGCTTTTCATGTCGGTAGCTCATGTCATGATCTTGAATTTTTACCATGAACGATAAACTCAATAAAGAAGTTCCGGGTATATGCTCATAATAACGAATGAACCTTCTTGCCCAGAATCAGGTATTTCGAGATGTCTGAAAATTTTTCCAGATCGAGATTTTGGCACCACATCCTTCAAATTATCTTTTAATGAGTTCTATATTAAATTTCAAGCGCCCTGTGTAAGATCTATCAATATCCCAGTCGTATAAGTAAAGTAGTGTCTCGCTTGGTCCGACAAAAATATTTTTAGAAAATCACTTCCCGCACTGAATACTTGGTCTATAATAACATCAGTGTACGACAAGTGAATATTCTCTCTCGGGCTGCTTCATTTTTTGCATCATTTCGGCCTTTGTTCTCTCGATCTCTGCAGGTATCCAATAATGTAAAAAAAAACTTCAAGCTCCCCACTCCTACTATTTATTATTGTGCTACTGTTAGTTACTGTTATCCGGTTTGTGCCAAAAAATTCTGACGCAAGTAGTGTAGACATCTGATAATAATTGCCAATGATGAATGTGGTTTCTTGCTTGATTTATTTTTATTTACTAACTCTAGTTATTGTGTTAATTATTTTAATTTACTAATAATATTTTCTTAAATCGTTGTGATATAGCTATTTATGTAACAAGTTGTGAAATGAGAGATAGCACTAAATGTAAAGAGTGGACCACAAGTAAGTGGTCCAATACATTGTGGGCAAAAAACTAGCAGTTTTGCGACGTGTTTCATACAAGACTTTTTGTGAGACACGGAACGCACTCTAAATCCCATTTCAACACAGTGATGAAATGAGATCCCATTTTAACCTGTATTAAAACACACACTGCTCATTTTGAAGTTTGTTTTAAAATGAACCACTTTTGACTACTAAAATCAATCTCAAAAAGATGACATTTCCTAACTGAATTACAAAAAAGCTATTTATGTAACAAGTTGAGAAATGTGCGTGCTTTTTGCACATGTAAAGGTGTGCAAAAAACCAGCCATATTTTGTGTTTCATATGAGGTTTTGTGTTCCGCTGAACGCTCGACTATTTTTTTAACTCGGCTATCCGCATCGTTAAAAAAATCAGATCTCGATCACCAAAGTAGCATTTCGCGCACTAGATACAAAAATAACTATTAGGTTACCGAGCTGCATTTTTCCGTTTCCTATTTGGTTACCGCTACATGGAGCGCTAATCCTTTAGGACTTGTAAAATTATATCAGTCATCGCGTTTACTATTAGGCCAGCGCACATGGTCTACCGCTAGATGGAGCCCTAATCATACAGGACTTGTTAAATTATATCTAACGTCGCGTTTTCTATTAGACCAGCGCACATCCTCTGCGATCGTCTGCAGACATCCATTTCATTATCGTTGTCATTTTTTGAGGTTAATTGCGGTTTCAGGTGGGGCAATAATTTTGTAATATTTCTTGTTGTGTTTCGTTTAATTATTTCTGTTGATTCTGCACTAGGAAATTCTCTAGCCAAAAATTCTATCATAGCAAACATTGTAGCTGTAATTGCAAAACGATCCTATTCTAGTAGTAGAACTCACTTTACTAAGTTAACAAGAAGTACCTTGGTTGTTACAGTAAAGTTTTTTCCTGCCACTATTATTCTTTTCCTTTTTCCTGTTACAGTAGAAACACTTATTATTAATAAGTATATTTTCTACCGCGGCAAAGTGCTTGCCTGCAACTATAAAAAAGTTTTTCATAAGTTTTTTTTATCACTGCTGGAAAAAATTTGGCTGCTACAAAAAAAGTTAAACTTTTTTTTAATTAATTATTATTAAAAACCAATTCAATGTCAAAAGTCATGTAACACCATGGTTTGCAAAATGAGCGCAGTTATTTAATTTATGTGCGCTGGTCTAATAGGAAACGCGACGTCAGTCATTTAACGAGTCCTACTATACGGACGGGTTAATAAGAGTTAAAATTTATTTTTTTATAGCCCCGTTGTGTACGCACAATTTGCTCTTAAAAGTCATCTTTTTCTAGAGCCTCGTTGCGGCCCGATGACAGGTGCTGGCGGGGAACCACCGCCCCCCAGCACAACCATTTCACCCGCTATGACGGAATCAGACTTGCCACAACCATTAATAACCAGAACGCCATCTGTCAATTTAAAATGGACAAAAAACAATAATACACCTTCAAGACAAGTAATAAATTAATTAGGAAAGTATACTTTAATGTAATTGCTACTGAATTTTTTTCAGGTCAGTTTTAATCATGGCAATCCTGAAGTGGCCAGATCCTTAACGGGAGTGGAAAAAGACTGCTTCATAATTCCTATACATAGTTTAGATAGATTTCTTCCAGCAGGAGTGCCTATGCCAGTAGGTGGTACTTGTTTTTCTCAAGTATAAATACCTAATCATCGGATCAAATATTGTTATTCCAGAAACCACCCCAACCACCGTCCCATAATGGAAACTCTTTGGACAGAAAATCTCAAGGGAATTTACACGTAATGGAAGTACCTGATCCGAAACTGTGTGTCTTATGTCACCTAATGAGTCAATTAGAACCCATCGATCCAGTATTAGAGTCGCCTTTGATACAGCCTCTGTTCAAGCAACGAGTCTCTGCGGGCGAATTGGTCAACGAAGTGGCGATGGCCAAAACCGCCGTCACCGGAATGCTGTTGGCGAATATGGAAAGAAACGCTGAGTTTCCTTTTATAAGCTACTATGTGATAAATACATCTCAGACCAATCCCGTGATGTTTTACAATAATTTACGCACTGCCAGTTTAACCAAATTTGATCCGAGAGCTACAAGGTAAATACATTATTCAGAAAATCTATAATGTTCATCAAAATCCCTCTTTGTTTGAATTTTTCTCTCTGACCCTCGAATATTTCAGATACACTGCAGCCCACACTTTGGACTTATACAGTGAAGTCGCTTCAATATGCAGGTAAAAAAAACATGTAGTGTGCACTATGTGCGCATATCTGAAGTGAAATTTCTTGGAGTGGGGGGACTACGAAGCACCGCACAAAGCGGAGACCGAGAACTAGCTTTGCGTCTCCGTCTCACTCTCGTTAACTCGTGTCGTGTCATGGCATAGCTTTATATTTATATATCAATATCGTGACTAAATCGCTTACCTCGAAATTTTACTCCCAGTGCGCATTAAGAAATTTCACTTCCAAAAGGATTTTATTTTTGTATATGCACAGAGATTTTTGATAAGAGCTGTGCAGTCATTTTATAATTAGATTTTCTCATGTAAGCAAAAAAATACGTGTAATCATACAACACGCTACTGAAGTGAAACTTCTTCAAACATACCAGAAAAGGGGTTGAGGAATAATTATTATAAGTTTGAATTGGATTAAAGCGCGCTCATGGCTCAAGCAATCCCCACTATTAACTCGTCTTCGTCACAATAGACAGAAAGTCCGTGTATGAAGTCTATAGACTTTTTCGAGTACGTGATCTGAGATTTTGGACTCTGATTGGCCAAAATTGGGGGGTCGACTTGGACGACCAGTGCTCAGTTCAAACGATTAACCCAAGACCCTAGTGAGGCCCCAAAATCTAGCCAATCAGCGAGCGTCCAAAATCTCAGATCACGCACTCGAAAAAGTCTATATAGACCTTATGAACGGACTCTAGTGTTGCATGTTTTCGTTACATATCAACTCGCAATAAACGAACTTACCCTAGAAGTTTCACTTCAAAAAGTAACCGCATCACATGTCATCAACATTTTTTCAGGCCCCCAGTTCACGAAATAGGAGTGCCGTTACCGAAAAGTCATAATCCAAATACGGGTTACATTGTATCAGTGTACAAAGTGTTTGAGGGAGACGACAGGGAAATATTTGAAAGAAATTGGCTTTACTGGACAGGCGCACGTATGATTTATCGATATCTGCCCCAAAAAGCCGGTCTACGGAAAATATCGCTTCACAAATCACTTAGTCCAAAAGGGGACAAAATGTACATTTTAATGTGTGAGTGCGCCAACCTAGTATCCGATGTTACCGTATGTGCATTATTATTGCCTGCCTTGAGAGCACGACTAACTGGTTATACTGGGCTGTTTAGGCCATTACAAGCTTTTTAAAAAAAAAAAAAACGATGCAGGAATACAATAATAATGATTATAGTTGAATCTAACCATATCTAACAATTCTCAGAGTAATAGAGTTTTAAAGATGATGCCAAAAATATGTACAACATATCTGGAATCTGAGAGGCCTTACTTCTACTTAATTGTACACTTTTGAATAATTTTTTTAGTTAGGTAGTTAATTAATAAGCAGTGTGCAGTGTAGCCATAAATAATAGATAGGTACTTTTAGGTATAAGGAGGCTGTTTTGAATCACACATTTATACATTTTGGAGCCAAAACTAATTAAATTCAAATCTTGGCTATTGGTTATTCATAAGCTTTAGTAGGTTATAACCGGTAAGGTATTTCCACAGTGGCAGATGGCTGGTTTTATAAAAATACAAAAGTAGGGATTTGGTTTACTTTGATGTATTTTTTCATGCTTTCTAATGTCGCACAGCAGGAAACAGCAAATGTAATAAAGAGCACTCCTGTAGGGACTAGGGACTTTATGGTTTTCAAACATTAGGCAGTAATACTTCATCTATTTATCAAAACGGTTAACTTTACGATTTACCACAAGGCATGGTTTTATACAACAAACTTAACTGAAGATTCAATTTTGACCATTAGGGAAGAATTGGATTCGATTGTGTCCACCAGAAATAAACATAATATATTTTATATCCTACTGAACTATTAAAACCATATAATACCTTGGTTACGATAATCATAAACAGGGTCTTAACTCCCAAGGGAGTTAAGGATTTTCATAACTCCCAAGGGAGTTAAGGAAGGGAGTTAAGGATATCATAACTCCCAAGGGAGTTAAGGATTTCCATAACTCCCGCTTTTACCTTGAATAGGTAACACTTTGACAAAAAATAGAAATTTTGATTTATGGCTTATTCCTTTATAAAAATAGACAGAATACAGTAAATTCAGTAGGATATAAAATTATCTATGTACCACGGGAATTATCAGGAGTTAAAACCCACGGGCAATTGGTGTCCCTCGGGCCGGAGGCCCTCAGGACACAAACGTTGCCCTGGGGTATTAACACCTGCATAATTCCCTTGATACATAAATAACTATTATATCCTACTGAACTATTAAAACCATATAATACCTTGGTTACGATAATCATAAACAGGGTCTTAACTCCCAAGGGAGTTAAGGATTTTCATAACTCCCAAGGGAGTTAAGGAAGGGAGTTAAGGATATCATAACTCCCAAGGGAGTTAAGGATTTCCATAACTCCCGCTTTTACCTTGAATAGGTAACACTTTGACAAAAAATAGAAATTTTGATTTATGGCTTATTCCTTTATAAAAATAGACAGAATACAGTAAATTCAGTAGGATATAAAATTATCTATGTACCACGGGAATTATCAGGAGTTAATACCCACGGGCAATTGGTGTCCCTCGGGCCCCCTTGATACATAAATAACTATTATTGAGGCTTCATTATGTGTGAAATTTCTTGTTATAGGGATAATATATTTTTTTCTTAAAAATAAAAGAATTTTGTTTGATATCACAATGCCTATTTTATTTTAATGATAGCAACTACTAAATAATAATAACAAAGAAACACTGCATTAGGTAGGTAAGTATCCCAGGAAAGGCATATCTGTTCAGTAACCTTTTCTGCCCCTAAATCTTTGTCTGGCATCTAGCTGTATATGAAAAAAGCAACATTAGCATAAAACAAAAAATGAATTAATTAATTTAGAAATGGTAGTTTACCAATGATCTTTTACATTCAAAAAAAGTATTCCTTAGTACTTGGCATTCAATTGGTACAGTTCCATCAGTTGCTTTCAGACATTCCCTTGGAGTTTTCTTATGCTTAACATAAAAATGTAGGCATGAGATTTTTTCCAAACAAAACTAAAATTCAACTTACCGTTTTGCAACATTCACTCTCCAGAAGGCACATTTTCAAGTCTGCCCTTACACCAGCACAGGCAGTTTTATCCTTTAGAGTTTCGTTTTCTTCCTCGTAGCGCATCATCTGGAAAATTGTACTTTGTCAACGATAACTGCATTAATTTATTATTCATTATTACCGTGTAGCCTTTCAATAAAAAAGTACCTAAATAGTTATCAAAATTTGTTGTATTTTTCAAATTTTCTTTTATGAAAGTTTGAGGTTAGATAGTTTGTGTTTGAGGCGAGAAGTACATTTGATGCGAAGTACAGTGGCTGCGGGACGTGTCGCTCAGAGCCGATTTCGGCAGAGTGCGAAGCTCCTGGGGTGCGTTCCAGGACGGCAATGCTAATGCCGAAACCTTAGAGCAGGTAAAGGTAAAGGAGTAGTAACCTGGATTTGGAAAATGAAGCCGTTTTTTTCCAGGTATTTTGGCCCACAAAAAATGGCGGTTATGGCAATTCAATGCTCTACCTGTATTTTGGTGCCAAACACCTGCCAAAAACTTAGCTTCACTTTAGTTTCATAAGCAGAATGGCGCGTTCCTACTCCTTATGTCCGTAGGACAGCGCTTTACCTGCTCTAAGGCCGAAACCTACTTTTCCCCCTCCACCTGTAATGCCGAACCGGTTGGAGCCGAACTCGAACGCAAAATGCCATATTTGGCTTGGCTGTAGCCATTCCTGAACGCAGCCCTGGAACACTTCACACCTGTCAGTGACCTGTCATTCTCCATGCGTTATGCACTCGAACGCTTGATACCGAACGGGTCAAACTGTTGCTGGAGTACTTCTGAGTAACTCGGGAGCGCTCAAAAGGTGGCACCCGAAAGCAGCTCTGAGCTAAGGTTTTCAGCAACCACACGGAGTGCGTTTAGAAATGGAGTGTAAAGGTAAAGTAGAGTAGTTGTTTGTCAAAGTGTTCTGACGTCATCACTTGGAATGCACTCTGGGTGCGGCATTTCTGAACGTATTGGGGCGTTGCGATGAATGTCAATCACGTCAGACCCGATCAATGAACTAGAACTAAAAACTGGAATGCGCACACAGTGCCATATCTGCCAAAAAAATGAAGCCATGAAAGACAGATGCCACAACGGGGAATGTTGTTTTTTTCTGTTGCTCGCTGACATATGACGTTTTCGAAAGTTTTGTCATATTTCCCTTCACAGGTTTCATCAATTGGAATACGTGTTGGAAGCAATTTTCGCCATTTAACATAATGAGTGCAACAAAAACAGGTATCCCCTCCGCAGCAGCCGCACTAGGCTTCACGTTCGTCCTTATGTGTTCGCATTCCAGTATTTGGTTATAGTTCATTGGACCCGATAAATACCAATTGTTCTTTTCACGTGGTCCGGTTTAAACTCTGGTTACAAAACGGTTAGTAGCGGTATGTCAAGTATGACATACCGTTTTCTAACCCGGTTACAAAGTGAAATAACCGATACCACTCGAATTTGAGCGGTATATTGCGGTTTGTTAAACCGGAGCCACGTGAAAAGGCTTAAAGTAAAAACCGCGGGGAATTTTTCAACCCAGTCCCTGAGTGGGGTAATGTGGGCGCACTCTGGGGGGCATCAACTCTCGATTTCTGAACGATTCTAGCGTAAGGCCTGGTACTCATAACCACGAAATTCGCTTTTTTTGACATTGTTTCAACAATTTGACATTTGATTCACGCATAAAACGTCAATTTGTCGAAGCAGTGTCAAAAAAGAGCGAATTTCGCAGTTATGAGTACTAGACTTAACGCTCCGAGTGAGCACCTGTTAATTTATGAACAGTTTAGAGTTACTCTAGGGCCACTCTCACACCCAGAGTGCTATTTCTAAACGCAACCCTGGAGATTGGGACAGACTTTAGATAGGTACATTCAGCTGTATGCAACATCCTCTTTTAACTAAAAGCGCTTTTTGAAACTAGAACCTTTAAAAATTTGTATTGCTTTGCTTAGAATACAAAATGTTTAAAAGGGACCAGTTTTAAAAAACGCTTTTAAGTTAATAGAGGATGTTGCATATAGCTGGTATTATTTTTTTCATGCCAAACTTATTTCAGGCTATAAAATATTTCCTTGATTAGAGTATAGAGAAGTGAATCTGGCAACACTGTGTCTGTAATACCTAAAGCCGGCTACACACGGTCCGGCAGGCCTGTCAGTTCGAACTGAACAGTTCGGCTGAAGACCGGTCGCCTGAACGTGTATGGGCTCTTTCCAAAATTCACCAGTTTCTGAACCGGTGCGATATCGGCAGCCTTATTCTGTAACTTGCGACCGCAGATAATTGCGCAATAGTTGCTGTCAAGTCGCTGCCAAATGCGAGTTTTCCACTAAAAAAAGCAACTTGCGACCGGTTGCTGGTTGCTATGTAATTGCTGTTCGTAGAGAATAAGCCTGCGGTTTAATAGTTTACTCACCAAATCGTTCCAATATGTTACATCTACCGAGTTTTTACCGGTTGAACCAAATCGTCCGTTCCAAAATGGACCGGAATGATCAACTGTTTGAAACTGGCAAGACACCGGATCCACCGGGAATTTTTGTCGGTTTTTTCGTTTGGAGATTTTTTGACACTTTTTTTTGACATACATCAATTGCTTTGAATGTGCGCTACTATCGGCAGTCGTTTAGTCGCAACACAACCGTCATAACCAAACTTTAACACACCAAAGCGTTCCAAAATGCATCAGAAAAATTTTGTGACCGGATTTTTACCGGAATTTTTTTGACAGGTACCGGTTTATTTAACCGGTCAATTTATCGGTGAAATTTGGAATGTGCCCGATACATTCCGGTCGATCTGTCAGTTAAGACTGTTGTCAGGCGGACGGAAAGAAATCAAAAATATGTAAATTTATCGCGATTTATCATAACGAGTCGTGTCTCTGGCAAGTCAAATCGAAAAACCTTTCACGATCGTGGCAAAAAAGAAGTGGCATATTTGAAATTGATAGAAAAATGGAAGGAAAATCGATCCTTCTGCAATCCAGAAATGCCATAATACTGGGTGATTCAAAAGTAAGCGGCATTCTTTAGGGGGCGTATTCCTTGCATAAAAATAAGACAAAAAGTTCCTATTAACGTGGGTCCGGAAATGCTTCCTAAGGGAGCTACGCCCCTTCGAATAGGACACCTGAAAGACGTGTTTTTCTGTATAACTTTGAAACCCTTTACAAATGGATTTTGAAAATTGGTGTATTTTATAAACATTTGATGGCAATTAAGACACTAATTTGAAAATTCAAAAATCTTAGATTAAATGACTCCCCCATACAGGGGGAGTCATTTAAAAAAACATAACTTTGTGTCACTACTAGTTATTGAGCCACCCTGTATACTGGAAAATAATTTAGGAATGTAATACTCATGTTTTTCTACAAGTTCTATATATAGTTTTTTCTTCGATCTCCGTTAGTATAGGAGATATGGACGACCGCGCGCTTAGTAACTCTCCCTGTATATATACAGTGTGTCCACTTAAGTTCGCAGCATATGGGAAACTTTTTTATCATCAATTTTAGAAAAAAAAGTTATTCTTTATTAAAGTTTCTGCTTCTTGAAAAAATGCTAATAAACGATTAAAACTTGCAATAGCATGTACCTACAGGGTGTTTCAAATTCGAGCCACATCATTGGGATCTCGGAAATGGTAAGATATACAGAGGGTTGGTTAAATGGGAGCAAAGTTGCGTAATTTAATGCTTAACAAAATTCCGCTTTGATATTTAGGATATTCCTAATACTTCCGGAGATTTCCGGAAAAAAACGAAATTTTGCAAAATTGTTTTTATTTTTTCCTGACTTTATTTGAAGTGATATATAAATAATATGTCACTTCATCATTGCCATTTTTTCTCCTCTACAAGATGCTACCATTAAATTAAAAATCTGACGTTTCGTCTTTGGGCCACCATCATCAACTCTATTTTTTCAAATACGATCCTGGATTTTTTATTTCAGATTTTTAGTGCTTCTGATGTCCCAAAACCTATGACGTATCGCATTTATTTGAAAAAATATTTTTTCTACAACTGTCAAAAAATGATGATGTTCGCACACTCATGACAGTTTGCGAAGTGACACTTCTTTTCCCAGGTATGTATTGATTTTTTAACGTTCCCATGACGCCGTCGCGAACTAGCTATTTCGCGCACACGTGCGCGAAATAGCTAATTCGCACACTGGGTGTCATTGTGACACATACCTGTCAGGAAACCAAAAATAATTAAAATTCACCTACTATTATTTGAAAATGCAATTTTAGCTTCGAATGATCGATATTTAAATGGAGTTGTAGAAAAAATATTGTTTGCAACTCGGGCGCGAAATACTTTGGTGATCGAGATCTGATTTTTTTAACGCGGCGTAGCCGAGTTAAAAAAGTAGTCGAGAGTAGCATTTCGCGCACTAGATACAAAAATAACTATTTTCTTCTTTTTAGTATTGTCCTACCAAAATTTTCTTCTCTGTCTCTCTCTAACACATTTGGTTCTTATGGAAAGTACCAATAATATAAATTTTTTGAATTAGTGCAATACATCATTGGTTTTGGGACGTCAGAAGCTTATGAAATCCAAAATAAAAAATGAGGGTCCGTATTAAAAAAAATTAAGTTGATGATGGTGGCCCAAAGACGAAACGTCAGATTTTAAATTTAATGGTGGCATCTTGTAGGGGAGAAAAGGTGGCAATGATGAAGTGACATTTATTTAATTCAAATAAAGTCAGGAAAAAATAAAAACAATTTTGCAAAATTCCGGTTTTTTTCCGGATATCTCCGGAAGTTTTCAGAATATCCTGGATATCAAAGCGGTATTTTGTTGAGCATAAAATTACGCAACTTTGCCCCAATTTAACCAACCCTGTATATCTTACCGTTTTCGAGATCCCAATGATGTGGCTCGATTCTGAAACACCCTGTACAGGGTGGTCAGAAAATAGAAAAATATACAGGTAAAAATTGAAAAAAAAATGGCACGTCACTATTTTTTAAAATCTTTGATATTTTTTTCAGATTAAGCAAGTCATAATACAGTCAAAGGATACCTTTCGTTTTCGCAAACAAACCTGCCAAATTTAAAAAAAAAAATTGGAAAAAGGATTTTTGAGCTAAAAGAACGATTTTTTCTAAAACTTTGACACCGTGTATCTCAGAAACAACGCATTTCCGGACACATGTTTATGGGAACTTTTTTCTTAGAATATCGTAAGGAATCACATCCTGAAGTTACGAACCGTACTTCGGAAACACCCTGTATAGTTTTTTATTTTTTGACCACCCTGTACATGCTATTTCAAGTTTCAATAGTTTAATAGTTTTTCAAGAAGCAGAAACTTTTATAAAGAATAACTTTTTTTCGTCAAATTGATAATAAAAAAGTTTTCCATATGCTGCGAACTTAAGTGGGCACACTGTAGATGCGCTAAAACCTGTAATTAAATTACTGTCTTGTCACCTGAACATTGACACAATATAATGCACAAATACCCAAAAAAAATATATCAAAATTGAATAGTATCGCAATGGCCTCCCATCTCCTGGAGAAAGTAGGGCAATGGTTCGGAGATGATAAACCGCTCCAAGAATTAGGCGATCCGATCGATTTCGATTCCGGGCCATTTTTAGATTATGCCATTTCTTGGGTTTATGTAAGTAGAAATTGCTCCCGAGTCAAATCACAACTCTGAATATTTTGTAGATATTCAAGAAGCTCTTGATACCTAGAGACTACAGAATGACTGCAGTGGGAAAAGTACGGTGTACTGCTGTTTGCGAAAACATAAAACCAAGGCATCAAAATAAACCACGATGCAAAATCTAATTTTAGTTATTATTTGGCAACATTTTAAACAAAAAATTGTATATTTATAATATGTAACAACACTTATTTAAACATTATCAAAGAAGGGTTTTATTTACTTAAATATTCGCCATTAAAAAAATATTATTAAAGTTTTGGCATCTTTTTTTAAATTGCCTAGAAAGTCATTTCAACATTCTTCACTACATTAGTAAAATCAACTTTAGATGGAACCAAATAAAAAGCCGGTGCCACTTGAATGCCACAAGGACACTGACATCCCATTACCCAGCTAAATGAGCCAACTTTGTGGTTGCACTTAGGACAGTGCAACTTTCCTTGAGTGGTTTGCGCCACATTCATCCAAGTAATGGGTTCCACAAAGAATGTATTAACACATTTAATTTGTTTGTCTTTTTCTTGATGCAAAATCAAGTGGCTTTCTGAGGCAATTATTCTACGGCACTTTTTGCATCTGTATACGTTGGGCTCAGGTTGTGACTGGACAAGCCCTGGATCTGGCTGAATAAGATTCAGAAAATTTTGCGGTAATATTTTGGCTTTTGCTACTTTATCAGCTGCCACGCTGAGGCGAAACATTTTGTATTTCGTGTAGGAGGGATCGATTTTGTAGCCCATTTCTTTGTATAACCTTAGCTGGGTTACAAAGCCTTTGTTTGGAAATACGAGACTTCTTTTGCTTTTGAGTTTGTTGTAAGCTTCAGTGTATGATAGTTGGTTTTTTTTCATCATGTATGCTAGGACTACAGTGGCACTTCTCGAAATACCAAAATAACAGTGAACAAGTATTGCTTTATTGTTGTGCAATGCTACAAAAATGATTCATTTACTTATTGGATATTTATGACTGAGCTTAGTTATTTACCTTCTTGTATGAAGGCGTTGGTATCATCAAAATGACTAATTAAATCTTCTTTTGGGAAATCAGCAAGTTGTATAAATTTTATTTTGATGTGATTCAACTCTGATATGTTTCTGGGCAATGGGCAAGTATCGATTGTCAATATGTAAGTGATACCTAATTTATTTAAAGTGTCGATATCTGTTGCTGCTGCTACACCTCCTAGATAAAGGTTTGTCTCTATTCTATCGTAACTTATGGGTCCAAGACTAAAATCTTCTCTATGTAGGATGGACGACATGGTTTTTATTTATGTTTTAACGTTGAAAATGTACAAGAAACTACACAAAATATCGATTTACTACCATTGGATTATGCGGGAAAAGTTAGAAACTTACAATTTCAATAGGAAGTGGGTAATTTGTCACGCAAATTGGATCTATTAATAATAATTTTATTTACGTTGTAGTTAAATCGAATACCTTATAATAACTATTTATAGGTGGTTTGTTGTTTATTTATTTTGATTTTTGAATGTTAAATTTTGAAATTTGAATGTCATAAATGATCACTATGTTTATTTTTTATCTTTTTTTGATAAGCATTAAAAAAAGACAAAGAAGTTAGGCTACAGGCAGGGTTGCCGGATTTCCAAATGCCTTGACCAGGGCACTTAAAAGTAAACAATAAACATAACCCCACTTTTTTTTTTTAAACAAGATTCTTTTTAACTTTTCAAGAAAAATGGCATTATTTAAGCACTACCCTAAAGTAAATCTGCTAAACCAAATAAACAACTCAAAAGCCAAATTTTACAAACATTTTAATACCGAAACCAAAGTTATTTTGGGCATAGAAACCTCCTGCGATGACACTGGTTGCGGTATAGTGGACACCCAAGGCAACTTATTGGGAGAATCTTTGCATTCGCAACATCAAATACATTTAAAGTAAGTTTTTCGAGTCATTCACATACCAAATATCTATTATACATGTTGGCAGCAATGGGGGTATTATTCCTCCACTTGCAGCAGATTTACATAGAGAAAATGTAGACCGAGTAGTGCAGGGGGCTCTTAAAAAGGCCCGCCTCAATGTTGAAGACATAGATGCAATTGCTACTACTGTAAAACCAGGTATTTGTTTCAATGGAACCTCTAATATACAGAGTGTCCTTAGATAAATTGACACATTTTGCAGATAAATATCTCAAAAACAAGAAAAGGTAACAAGGGGCCGAATTTATAGTCCTTCCTTGGGGGGTTGTTAGTTTAGGATGGACAGTGGTTATTACTATTTGACTATTTTATCATGTCAATTCTAAACATCCAAGGTTCCCGCACGGTCCAAGGAATCCTCAAAGTCCAAAGAGTAACTATAAATTCCACCCAAGATGCGGTTTGTGCTGGGATAATAGGGATTTTTCAAATTTTTTTTCCCAGTATTTTCGAGTCCTAAAACTTGCTAAAATTTGGTTTCAAAGAAATTGATAATTAATTTGTGTTCAAGACTTGCATTAATAATTCCATTTCTGATCCTGAGATCCATTCGTGGTTTGTTTTGTTTGAGAAAAAGACTCTAATCAATAATTCCTAAAAGTTTGAAGTCCCTCTGATTGCTTGACAGAGCTGTCAGAAAAAAGTATCTTAGTTACTTAGTTATTTTATAGTATCTAAGATGTATCTATATCTTAAATACTTTTTTCTACAACTGTCAAAAAAATGATGATGTTCGCACACTCACGACAGTTTGCGAAGTGACACTTTTTTTCCCAGGTATTGTTTTTTTAACGTTCCCATGACGCCGTGTGCAAACTAGCTATTTCGCACACTAGTGCGTGTCATGGTGACACATACCTGTCAGGAAACCAAAAATAATTAAAATTCACCTACCTTTGATTGAAAATGCAATTTTGGCTTCGAATGATCGATATTTAAATGGAGTTGTAGAAAAAATATTGTTTGCAACTCGGGCGCGAAATACTTTGGTGATCTCGACTATTTTTTTAATTCGGCTGCGCCTCGTTAAAAAACTCGGATCTCGATCACCAAAGTAGCATTTCGCGCACTAGATACAAAAATAACTATTTTTTTTTGGCAAAAGTATATAGTATCTTAGATACTTTTTAAAAGGAGCTGTAACTTGTATCTTGAAAAAGGATCTTAGATACCGAAAAGTATCTTCGGTACCAAAAAGTATCTCAGATGTTTAGTTAAAAGCATCTTAGATACTGAAAACTATCTTAGATACTGAGAAAAGTAGGTATCTAAGTTAACAAAAAGTATTAAAATTGCACTAAAAGAAGTTCCTTGAGACGTTTACCCAAACCCAAATCCAATCCAACAAGATAAGACTTGTTCAATCAAATAGTAGGTAAAAAACTCTGTCTAACCAAAGTTGAACGTTGAAGGTCACTTACTCATCCTTGTAACCATAGGATCACCTGTTCGGATCTATTTTGGTTTGATAAACACAGCGCTTGTGCAATAAAGACAGCAGCAAAAAGCAACTTCTGTGATATATTCGAGTAAGTGACCTTCAACGTTCAACTTTGGTTAGACAGAGTTTAGGTAGATGGTAGGTCTGTTCTCACAAGAGTCTCTGATAATTTGCAAACTGTCAGTAAGCATGGCCCATGTAAATACATGTTTTCAATGTCGTCATTAACTGTATTCCTTTTATACATCAAGTTACACCGAACGTGTCGCTCTAGAGCTCCTCGGAGTCACTCCAAAACACACAATTCAGATATTATCAATATTTTTTGATATTAACATTATCTAAAAGGGCTTCTTGCAACCCACGCAAATTTAGTGCATCAGGGAAAAGAGGGACGCACTATGAGCGACTCGAGTGCTTAACGCACTTTTAAAAGGAACGTTCAAGCTTTTGACATTGAGCAGCTCCGCGTAACCCAACAGGTAAAAGAAATACAGTTATTGCTGTCGTTCCAAAATAAATCGGTAACTTAGCTGACCTGACAGTTTCTGACAGGTTGCAAACTGTCAGACACTCCTGTGAGAACAGACCTAACGGGATTTCTGCGAGTTGGCTCTGTTCCAAACGACATGAGAACCGTTCTAGAACGGTAGTTTCCAGTCGATCAATTCATTTGTCAAGTAGGATAAACGTTCAACTTATGAAAAATGGGTTGGCAACTAGAAATTACTGGTTCTGGAACAGTTCCATTGTCGGTTGGAACATAGCAGGTATTAAGATATGTTTGGCCAGTAAAGCTGAAGTACTATGTACAAGAAAAGTCATGATAATATCCCGATTCCTGTTTATAAGGAAAGTATTGTTGACAATGGTTTTTTCGAATTTGAAGAAAACAGTGTTCATGTGGAGCAATTCACCGATATGAGAAGCTGTATTGGTTTGAAGATCCTACAATATACTCGAGAAGAATTGAAACTTCTCGAATTTGGGATTTTCAAACTATGAAAAATCTTGTTTTTGAACTTGTGCGGACCAAAAACAGCAATAGCTTAATCAGTTTTTCCGTCTGCTATTCGGAAATAATAATAAAGTATCTTAATAAGTATCTTATTAAGTATCTTGAAAAGTAACTTAAGATACATATTTAAGATCCTTTTTTTAATGAGTAACTAAATACCCAAAGTAACTTCAGATACTTTTTCTAAAAGTAACTTATCTTGTAACTAGATACTTTTCAAAAGTATCTTTGACAGCTCTGTTGCTTGAAGTATTTTTCAGGAGCTTTCAAAGGTGATTTAATAGAAATTTTACAAGATTTTTTTGCATTTAACTGAAAAAAAAATCATAGTTCCATTTCTGAGCTTGAGATCCACTCACAGCTTGTGGTATTCAAAAAAAAAACCTCACTCAATAAATTCTGGAAGTTTGAAGTCCCTCTGATTGTTTGAAGGATTTTTCAGAAGCTTTCTAAGGTGAATATTCACCTGCAAAATGTATCAGTTTATCTAAAGACACCCACATTGTAACAACAGCTCTTTATTAGGTTTACCAATGTCACTTAAAATTGGTACAAAATATGGAAAGTACCTTTGCCAAAAATACAACAAACCATTTATCCCTATTCACCACATGGAAGCTCACGCGTTGACTGCAAGAATGATAGACAAATCCATTCAATTTCCATTTTTGGTTTTACTTATAAGCGGAGGTCATTGCTTGTTGGCTGTAGCTCAAAATGTTGATAAATTCTTATTATTAGGCGACAGTATCGATGATGCACCAGGAGAAGCTTTTGATAAAGTAACTATTTATAAGAAAAAATTGTAATAAAGATTTAGTAAACTTTAAATTTCAGCTTGCACGTAGAATGAAACTGAAAAACTTACCAGAATATGCTACACTTTCTGGTGGGCAAGCTATTGAATTAGCTGCATCTAAGGCAACCAATCCTTTGCAGTTTGAGTTTAAACCTCCAATGAGCGCCTATAAGGATTGCACATTTAGTTTTGCTGGTATTAAAAATATTTGTACAAGGTATATTATAAAAGAGGAAATATTTAAAGGTACAATTTAATATATAATTTTTAATTGAAAAATAATTACATTATTTATAGATTTAGCCCCAGATGAAGTTATTCCAGATGTTAATAATTTATGTGCAGGATTTCTCTTAGTTATCACTAGGCATTTATGCCACAGACTGCAACGAGCCATCGAATATGCTGCCAGAAAACAACTTATACCTACAGATAAGCAAACTTTGGTAGGTATAATTATTTCTGGAGAAAATTCTTGCTAAATATTTTTCTAGGTAGTTTCTGGAGGAGTAGGTTGTAACAATTTCATAGCTGAAGGACTTGAAATTGTTTGTAGTGAATTGGGGTATAGACTAGTTAGGCCACCTCCAAAATTATGCACAGATAATGGAATTATGATTGCTTGGAATGGAGTTGAAAGGTATATACTTATACAGGGTGTCCGGTAAGTATATGGCATACTCTCAGGAGCGTATAGTAGGGGTTAAAACTTGTCAAAATAACCCTAAAATGTGTTTTTTTTTTAAAGATAATAGTCAAAATGACATTGTGTTGGCAATACAATGTAAAATTCTCAATGCTTTCAAATTTTTTATGTAAAGTCTGTTTTTTTTTTAAAGATAATTCCCCAAGTCAAAAATTTAGTAACTATGTTGGCAACACAAGCCTTTTCTACATGAAAAATTTGAAAGCATTGACAATTTTACATTGCATTGCCAACATATTGTCATTTTGACTTTTATCTTTAAAAAAAAAACAGATTTTAGAAAAGGCTTGTGCTGCCAACATAGTTACTAAATTTTTGACTTGGGGAATTATCTTTAAAAAAAAAACAGACTTTACTTTGTTCTAAAAAAAAATTCCTAAAGTGCCCCTTAACGGAGATACAGAGCCCCAAAAGAGTACTTGCCGATACACATTTTTGGCTCTAACTTTTGAACCGACTTGTATAATTTAATGAAGTTTTGATATTTTATGTTGGCTATAAAGACTCATAAAATCATCCTACTGCAGATGTTTCACATACTCTGGGAAGTCAGGAACGGATTTGCCACCATATTCATTTTGACAGGAGTCATTTTACACAGCTGAAAACTGATTTTTTAAATACTTTGGTCATTTTTCTTCAAAAAAGGTACTCTACATTTGTTTCGATTAAATCAGCCGTTTCCGAAAAAATTAGGTTTTTGTATAACACCTTCAATCATTTATCTTCGAAATTTATTTAATAATCAAGTCGATACCAGATTAAGAAAAAACAGATAGAAGTTGACTTATAAAAAGTACCTGAAAACGACACTTTTTGCCATAAAAAGGTACTTTTTATAAGTCAACTTTTACCTGTTTTTCTTAATCTAGAATCAACTTAATCATCAAATAAATTTCTAAGGGAAATGATTGAAGATGCGTATACAAAAACCTTTTTTTTTCGGAAACGGTTTATTTAATCGAAACAAATGTAGAGCACCTTTTTTGAAGAGAAATGACCAAAGTATTTAAAAAATCAGTTTTCAGCTGTGTAAAATGACTCCTGTCAAAAATTTGGCACAATGAATATGGTGGCAAGTCCGTTCCTGACTTCCCAGTCTATGTGAAACATCTGCTGTAGGACGATTTTATGAGTCTTTATGGCCAACATAAAATATCAAAACTTCATTAAATTATACAAATCGGTTCAAAAGTTAGAGCCAAAAATGTGTATCGCCAAGTACTCTTTTGGGGCTCTGTATCTCTGTTAAGGGGCACTTTAGGAATTTTTTTTTAGAACAAAGTAGGGTTATTTTGACCCCTACTATATGCTCCCGAGAGTGTGCCATATACTTACCGGACACCCTGTATACTAACCGAGATTTGATTGTCAGAATGAACAGAAAAAAAAAAACTTCGGAACTTGAAGGAAAATGACTAACTTCTGAAGAAAGTTTAAGCATTGTTATCTCCAACTTTCATACAGCAATCTATTTCCTTAAATAATATGCAAGGTTTCCTTATAGATACCATTAAATCAAACCAAAAATAATTTATTTAAAAAAAAATTGTATATAATTTCAGATGGAACGCAAACCTAGGGATTTATAAAGACTTTGATAACATTGACATACAAAAATCATGCCCTCTAGGTACAAGACTTGTAGAAGAGGTAGCCAAAGAAAATATTAGCTGTAAATGGGTTAAGCTATCTCAACTGAATAAACCTCAGAGTGAGTGGTATAGCTTGAAATCAAGTATTTCTTAAACTTATTTTGTATAAAAAGAAAATAAAATTTTTCCTAAACTAAAACTGGTCCTTTCTCTGTCATAGATTTCTTCATATCACCATAAACATCTTCACCTTCATTCTTATTTTCTAGTTCACTCATCACATCGAGCAAAGTCCTCAATCTGTGTTTGACTTTTTTGATATCCTCTTCACTCTCCCTTGCAGACATTGCAATTATATCTGAGAAATATAACATATTTGTGGGCCTAGTATTTTCATCATATTTGGCCATAAACTCTTCAAAATTCTTAAGCTGCTTTTTAACTTCCACATATTTTTTATCAGCATCAGTTGTGTCCATTTTATTCACCAACAATATTGAAGGCTTTTTTAATAAGTCCTCATTGTATAATTCTAGTTCCTTGGTGAGTAGCATAATAGTTTCTAAGCAACTTCTATGAGGATACTCGTGACTCAATTGAAAACCATTAATATCAACAATCATTAGTAGTAGTTTAGTTCTTTCTATGTGCTTTAAAAATTCATGCCCCATTCCTCTATTAGCGTAAGCACCTTCAATTAAGCCTGGCAAATCTGCTACAGATATTTGTCTTAAATCGTCATAGGCTATTATACCCAAGTGAGGTTTAACAGTTGTAACTAGAAATTTGGATAAGAATTTATTTAAAACAATTCGTAAATACTTACAAGGATAACTGGCAACTTTTGGTCTAGCTTGTGACACTGCTCCCAAAAACGTGCTTTTGCCTGCATTAGGAAACCCTACCAAACCTACATCGGCGATCAATTTCAAGTCAAGTGTAACTGAATAGGCTTGACCTCTGGTACCTAAAAAGCCATTTTTTGCATGTCCACCTGTACCCCCTTTAGCTATTACTAATTTTTGCCCATCTTGGTTAATTTCGCCTAATTTTTTTCCCCATTCTGTGACTAAACTAACTCCGACTGGTACTTGGAAAACCAAATCTTCGCCGGGCGGACCCAATATAAAATTAGCCGAGGCACTTTTTCCAGCTGGTGCCGCGTACCTTTTGGTTTTGTTTGTTTTGAAAACGTGTTCGAGTGTCAGGCCTTCTTTGGCTTCCACTAGGACGTCGCCACCTTTGCCACCTATACCGCCAAATCTGAACAAGAATTGTATAAATTTGACTGTAAAAAATTGAAATAAGTTTACTTTGGAAGTCCGTGGCCTCCTGCTCCACCGGAAACGAAAATACGTAGGGAATCTCTGAAGCCTTGTTTCAGGTAGTTTCTTAAGGGTTTTTTGATTTTTTTAAATAATTGGACACTTAGGTAAACCATTTTTCAATGGTTTATTCACATTTTTTCACAAAAAGAAAAGAGCACTTTCTGTTAATTATTTTTAGGTTGGAATAATAACAATAACTGTGAAGTTAGTTGGCAAGCAAGTGGATAAAAGGTCTGTTCCCACAACAGCCTCTGAGTGTTTCCAACCTATCAGAAACAATCGCTCAGCTGAGTTATCGATTTATCTTGCAACGACGGCATTGAATACATGTATGGGCGATGCTTTTTGACAGTTTGCAAACTGTCAGAGACTGTTGTAAGAACAGACCTTAAAACGAAAAACAAAACGGAACATAACCCAAGAAAGGTCACTGCCTCAGTCAGACTTGAAATTAAAAATCCAAACAAACACAAACATTATTTTTCTACGGTGCGTAAAGTACCCTTACTTTAAGTACTGTTCAAAAGACGTAAAATAAGATTTCACGCACTAGCGCGTAAAATAATTCACGTTACACACTAGTGCCTGAAGTAAACATAAAAGTTCAATAAATTTAGACCCTCAGATAGTGACATATTTAGGTGCCCCATTTTCGCATACAAGCCTCGAAGAGGGTTGACTAGTACATCGATTTTGAGTAGGATGATGATATTTTCTCGGGTGGCTTCTGAGGATAACGTATGGAAAATTCGATTTTCCATAACAGAAATGAAAGACGTCCTGGTGGCCTGGTGCCTATATTTTCTCGCGAGCTGTGTTCACCAAAGGATTAAATAATAAATCCTGGGTCCGTGAAAATAAACAAGGGGGTGTTGCAGGCAGTGCCGGCCCGAGCCTACTTTCAGGATGGAGCGAGATCCGACTTTGGCGCCCCTATTTCAAATGTGAATCTTCTGCGCATGGATTTTGACCATTGTAATACCTATATGTCTCTATCTATCTTATCATCTATTGAAGTTTGAAAACATCTATTTTCCTTGGTAGGTACCTACTTACTCTTTTCCTTTTGAGAGTTGATTTAGAGTAGAATGACAAACAAATGATGGAAGTTTCTACGTTTATTTATTCATTATGCCGGTTTGCCACCAAACGGACTGTTGAGTTTGTGTTTTAAAACACGAAATTAACCTGTCGCAAGACACGCTAATCTTGAAAATGTTTGGAAAAAGTTAGAGTTTTGTCTGAGTTTAAGTTTGTTTTTGTTTTGTTGGTTTGGTGGAAAACCAGCATTATAATCTACTTTCTTGTTTACTAACATTTGGTTCACATTTTTTGATGAGATCTCAATCAATAATCAACTTTGGTAATATCACTTATTAACACTTAGGCCCGATTTATTCATCTCCACATAAACTTGGTGTTAACTATCTGCAAGATGTATTTACCGACCTATAATCTTCATCTATTGGTTGGCAAATAACTAGCCGACTAATGGAATTGCAGATAGCGTTTTTATCCATCAGATTGCATTAGGTACCTGACAGTTTATCAGAAGGTGAATAAACCGCCCCTTATAAATATAAAAATCGAATCAGCAAAATACAAAATTGTAAGTAAATCGCTGTTTGCGCACTTTTGCATTTGCAAATTTGTCTAATCCCCTCGTATGACAATTCTGAGCTATATGATTTTCAATTGACTGCAGGGCTAGATCAGAAAGTTTGTCTTCTGCTAGAATTGGCTTAAGGTACGTTTTAATTATCTTAAGTTTGACTTAAGCTAACTTAAGCTCCGTTCACATTTCACCACAGGAATGGCTACAAAAATACTGAGAGCTGCCCAGATATTAGGAAATGTATATGCCAATTATTCAATGCTTAGTTCTGGAGTACTGCTTTTGGGTCACCTTTATCACTATAAGAACTTCTTCAAACACATTATTTTTTTTGCAGGACCGAGTTTATTCATTTTTTTATAAACTGCAATCTGACGGACGGATGAAAATGTAATCTGCAATCCCATTAGTCCGCGTTATCCGTCGACCTATAGAATTATAGATCGGTGCATTTATCTTGCAGACAGTTACCAGCAAATTCACCTTGAAAATCAATGAACCGGGCCTTAAACGTTCTAATCCCGAAATATTGTGATTATAGTCATGTAGGGGCGATGCCACGCTCGCAACCTCTGCGCGTCATAAAACAACGTCGCGACAGGTTATTCACGTGGGATTCACATATTAACTAGACGCTTGCTCGCAAGCAGAATAGCAGAATATCGAAAACAAAACAGGATTCAAAGCAAAAATATATTTTTCTCTTTTTTTATCAGAAACGAATCCGGCCCCCCCCCCGAGGTCTGAAGCCTGGAGCGCTCGCTCCGTTCGCCTTATGGTAGGGCCGGCCCTGGTTGCAGGTGGCTAAATGTTTGAAATAAGGGTGTAATCTTGTAAGGAAAAATCGAGATTTTGGGCGATTTTTCCACACAAGCCCATCGGAAGGATGAAAATCTACAAAGATGGTAACAAGAAAACATATTATTGGGTGTCGCGAATGGAAAAGTACATTTTAGGGTAACATAAGTAAAATCGAATTTTCCATATGTTATCCACAGGAGCCACTCGTGAGAATACCTTCATCCTACTCAAAATTGATGTACTTTTCAACCCTCTTCGAGGCTTGTATGCGAAAGTGGGGCACCTAAATATGTCACTATCTGACGGTCTAATTGTATTATTTCTTGCCTTTGCTGCCTTTTTTAAAAACTAACACTGTTATTTTACTTTACACCTCGCTTTACACTCTAGGTCATGAAGTAAGTTACTTTAGACACTAGGGCGTAAAGTTGTGGTATATATTTATTAAATTTATTGCTTTATATTGTTGGTAGTGTAAAAAAAATTGTATGCAACAGGTGTGGAAAGCAAACTTCACATTCTTGAAAAAAGGTCCACTTTATACACTTGTTGCATAAATAGCTTGTTTTTATCCTTATAGGTAATCTCAACGCAGCATGTATAAACTTGGGAATAATAAGGACAATGAAGAAGATGAGGACCAAGAAATGCTGAATCAAGAAGCAGAGTTCTACAAACAAAAAGCTCTAAACAAATTAATACCGGCAGCGACTGCTGTAAAATCAAACAAAGGTAATTGCACTTTAGTAGGTACACTTCAGCAAAGAATACCTAAATTTACCTCAGAGCTGGGATCGTTACTTGAAAAAAGTAACGTGTTACTTGACAGTTACTTTTGCCTAAAAATAACTCGTTACTTAAAATTTACAGTTACTTTCGAATAATGATAACTTTATTTTCATTACTTATTGGAAAGTAATGCGTTACTGTAACTTCTTTACTTTGAAAGTAACTTCTCTACTTTAGAAGTAGTTCGTTACTTAAAAGAAACTCGTTATTTGAAAGTAACCCGTTACCTCAACGTGTTAGTTTGAAATAAAGCGAAACTTTTAAATAAAGCCTTACTTTTAAAGTAACACGTTACTTCAAAAATAACTATTTACGTCGAAAATTGCGTTATTCCTTAATTTGACTCACCAACACAGCAGTCCAAACAATCAGATAAGACCTATACAAAATGCCAATATGTTTTTAGTTTGTGAGTCCGACTATGTGGAAGAGTTTTGTTGCAAAATTCAAACGGATTAAGGATTAAGCGACTAAATAGAGAACTTGGTTTTGGACAAACCTGCTTTTTGAAACGATTTCTGTACTACCCACATTTTATTTGACATACAAAGTTTTTGGATTACTTATTTTCCTTTTCCTCAATTGTCAATTATTTGTAAAAAAGATAAACAAATTGAGAGGACGCGTTACTTTCATATTAACTAGTAGCGCGTTACTTCCATATAAACGCGTTATTTTCATAGTAACGCGCTACTTTCATAGTAACTCGTTACTTTAACAAAATAACTATCTGCAGTTACTTCAGGAAAGTAACGTCGTTAAAGTTACTTATCAGTCAATCTGAAAAGTAATGAAGTTACCAAGTAAGGCGTAACTTTCAGTAACTCGTTAAAGTAAAGTAACTATTTTTTGTCGTTACTCCCAGCTCTGATTTACCTTCATATTTTCTGAAACTCCTCAGAACATGAAATGTGTCTACTGTTTTCTTAAAATTTTGCCCATATGTATGATGTGTTACCTATTAAATTTAAATTTGTAAAGAAACACAAATTGTCTGTAGAAATCAACTGACAAGGGGTAAATAGCTCTTGCAGTCGATGTATTATCTGTCGTTTTTAATCTGACACTTTCCGTACGAGGAGCGAGGGGGTGAAGCATATGAGAAAAAAATGTGTGACTTTAGGTGACTATTGGCGTTTTAATGTAGGGTGCCACCAACTCACATTCTTGTGGAATGGAATATCAGATTAAAATCGACGGACTTTACATATTTCTTACAATCATTACACAATCTCTCAAGGTCTGTTCTCACAGAAATCACAAACCAGTCAGACAGTTCTTGATTGGTGCAAATCATCAACAAACAATTTTCTAACTATTCTCAACTAATAAATTCACTCTGACTGGTTTGTTATTTCTGTGAGAACAGACCTTCAATCTCTTCACAATCTATACCATCATCGTGAGGTGGCATTCAGTTAGGATGGCACCAAATAATTTTAATTTACTTTATTTTCAATCACAATCACATTCTTAGCTTTTCTTAGCACCGGTTTATCGTTTATCAGTGAAAAGTTATCTAGTTTAGCTCTCAGTTAACTAATGATAATTGCTAGTTACCTGACAGCTAAACTAAATAACAGTCCACTGATAAACTGGTCCTTAAACATTTTGAAAACTGGCAGTTTATTTTGGGTCAACTAGGGTTTCTACAGGTGTCTACAGTAGGTCAGTATAGGTGTACAAATTTTTAAACAGGACTTCCAAGAGTACCCTACAGGACTTGAATAGAAGTATTATGCAGAACTTACAGTACTTCAAGCTCAACACGACTATACAGTATTTCAAGAGAACTTGACTTTCTGGATCTCTTTCTAGATCATCCATAATCACAACTCTTAGTACTACTCTCGGTACTACTAGAAGAATTAATTTTTTTTTATGTTAAGATTTTGTGTCTAAATAATCCACCCCAAAAATCCATACACTAAACTATTCTCAGATTTGAAGCCGAAATCTATGAAAAAAGGCACTCAGAAAAATTGATAAAAAAGTTTGCAAAAATCCAAATACAATGCTTAAATGTATTATGGTTTTCTGATGTCCATTTTATTGATTTTTAGATGTCCATCAGACACCAAAATCAACAAAAAATGATCTCGAGAAAATGGAAATCGAACCAACTGGAGAAAATATCCAAGATCAGCTGGCAAACACTTTCGAAGCGATACCCAAAGGCATGGATCTAAGCCCGATCAAGGAAAATGTTCAAAATTATAACAAAACTTCTATAACATATGATCCTAATGGATTTCCAAAACCTGTTAGACGAAATGTAGGTATAGAAATTGACAGGCTAACTAATGTAATTAAATATAATTTTCAGACAGATATAAAGCCTTTAAAGGGGAGCATTTTTTCACAACATATGAAAAGGTTGAAGAAGAACTCCGAGGTTGTTACAACTACAGAAAATAAAACAGATGTTAATAAATCAATATTTTCTCTTCAAGGAAAAAAGGAGAATGAACAAACTAGGTTAAATGGTAATTTGTCTAGATAAAAATGCTCCATTGATATATTTAGTTAATGAATGAAACATGTTTGTAGCACATACTCCAGCTATTTTATCTACAACTGAGAGGCTACAAATCCACGAAGAAAATCTTGAAACCTTAAATCATATGAACCAAGAGGAAATATTGGCAAACAAGAAACAACTTTTATCATCTCTAGATCCTGCTTTGATCCAATTTTTACGGGATAGACAGTAAGTAATTGATTATTGAAATATATATCCACATTAATATCAATATTTAGATCATTAAAACAAAAAGAAATTGAAAGTGGATATAAAACAAATACAAAACAAAACATAACAGCTGAGAATCTAGGTGTAGAACAAGTGGAGGTTCTCCAAGAAATGTTATCAATGCCTGAATCTAATGGTTGGCTTAATTTTAATAAATTTGAAGCCAATAAGCTAGCATGGATGCAAGACATGCCAATTCCCAAACTAAAACAGACTGAAGGTTTTGAGGCAAGATTTGATTTTGATGGATATCTTTTGCCTTGGTGTGTAGCAGAAATAAACGAAGCCAATAGATATTTGTACCATCATGGAGACGAACCAGAACGTCCTGGCTACAGCTTACAAGAACTTCTATCTCTATCAAGATCAAATGTTATGCAACAAAGAATCATGGCTCTCAATACCCTAGCGAATATTTTAAGCATCGAACAAACAGGAGTTTACGAAAAAGTTTTTGATTTGCCAATAGAGCAAATTTTTTTTGTGCTCAGAGTTGCTTTGGATGATAATACACCGTCAGTTTTAGCAGCAGCAGCAAAAGCTTTAAGAAATTTAGTATATTTTCAAATTGATGAAACTTGTTTGGATAATATGTTAGGCTTTGGAATGGGTTTTGTACAGCCAATTTTGGCAATTGATAGTGCCATGGAAGATGATATTACTGTCAATGATCAACAATTGGCAGAGACTAATTTGGTTAAATGTTTAATTAGAAGTGGGATTTTGACAAGAATTAGATATATTGTTAACACAATAAAACCACACACGGAAACTATAATCCACTGCATTGAAATCCTGATAAGACTTGCCAGAGACTCTGAATTTATTATCAATAAAATTTTGCAGTGTGAAGGCCTTATAGGCAGTTTGATAAAATATTTCTTGCCTCCATTTAAATCATTGGGATTGGATAAATCTTGCCCTGGTTACTTCATGCCTTTACCACACATCATTAAACTATTAAGAGTTTTATCATCCAGAAATAGAAATATTGCTGCCAGTTTGTTGAATAAATATGATTTGTTGATTATTATGATGTCTTATTTGAATGAAGATCATTTTTCTCAAAACGCTTTTGCTATGCGTTTGCAAGTTGAGTCTATGTATTATTGGACAGTTGTTTTACATTACGGACTTTCTATCGATTCATTAAGGTAAGATAAAATTACTTGTTTGTAGAAATTATACAAAATTAGTACGATTGTCTTTTTATTTTGTAGCCAACATTCCAACATTATTTTGAAATTCCTGGATTACCATTTCAAAAATACAAACAACGATATGTCCACCACATTAATAAGACAAAGTCATGTGACAGCCTTGTTCATGCTGCTCACAAAGGCTGTAGAAAAAGAACATGTTTTGTTTCAAAGTCTGACTACTCAGTGTTTTGAAAAATGGATGAGTCAGTTTAGGATTCTTCAAGAGTTTAAGGTAGAAATATTGTTTGAGGATTTAAGTATCACTATTGACTTTGATTTTTAGTGCGCTCACTCACAGATTACCACCTCTATACTTTATTATGCAGCAGTTTGTAACAGAAATGGTGTAAATATCAATGGCTCTGGTCTATTTGAATTAATTTTTGATTCTGATGGATTTAAGTTTGCGACCAACAATATTTTGCAAGTTTTTACAAATTATTAAATGTGTGAACTATTTGTGATAGATCTTTTTCTAGAAATGGATCTATACTTTTAAACAACTTCCAAACACATCAAACTACTGCCAATCTGAAATCGTTAGAAGCTGCAGCCTGGTTTTCCATGGACCATATTATACCTGTAATGCAAACCAATAGTTGCATACCATTTTTATACGCATTGACTAGTTTTATAATGAGTAGTGATTCGTCCAAGGTATATTTTTTTTAAAAAATGCATTATTTGCCTTAATGTACTCTTTTTTTTCAGCTGAAAACCAAATTTCTAAACTACCCAAACATCAAAATGTACACTGAAAAACTGAAATCTTCCAAATCTTATTATAATATTGGGAATTGGTTTGCTAGATGTGAAAGCTTTCTTATAATGAATATTCTGAAAATTGTTGTAAATATCCAAGCCGATATTGATCCTGCTTCATATTATGATACTGCTGTTAAGTGTTTATGTGTTTTTAGTACCGAACAAAAGCAGGATATGAAATTTTTGCTGGATAATATGGTTTTCTGTCCAAGGTAAGATTCTATCATAGAAATAATTAGTGTTGATAAGCAAGAGAATTTTTCTTAGGTTCTATCCAGTAGAAGTTGCAATGTCAAATACTCAAATAAACGAAAGAAATACGGAACTAGATAGAGCCTGGTCAAATCTGGATGAGATTAAAAAAGTTTACGCTAATGTATTGGGCATAACTGGTGTAAGTATCAAGTATTTTTATGTAATTGATACTATGTCTTTTAAAGATTTTGCTTCAAGAAAATACAGACTAAAACTAATAATTCCCACAAGGAATATTTTCATAACTAATATAGAAATGCTCATCATTATTTATCAGTAGTTTTTTTTTTACAGAATTTAATCACTTTTGACTCGTCCCTCTGCCTAGACACGAGTATTGGAAACGTAATTCCAGTTGACTGGATTTACACCCCCTTAGTGGTGCTCTACTCCAACTACCAAAAAAGATCCAAAAATGAAGTACACAACGAACAAGAAGACTTCCAAATTGTCATTAATTGTTTACGCTGGGTCCTTATTTATGAAACCCACTTTGAAACTTTATCAAATTGCATAAGCCCTGCTGAAAAATACGTTCGGTTGGGGTGTTTGTTTTTAGCTTCCGATAACTTGTTTTTACATGCAGAGTTGCAAGATTTGATGACTCAAGTTTATGGGTTTTTGATTAGAGATGAAAAGATGATTGATTTTAAAAAACAAATATCAGGTTTGACGAGCTTCAAAGATTTTTTTATGCAACTCTTAGACCAATATCAAGCAGTGAGTTATGGAAATAAAGTTTTTGGAAATGTTTTATTGTTTCCTTTGGTGAAACGTCACGATGTTGGGTTCAGGAAAGCTTTGTGGTCTGAGTATTTAGCTGTAGTGCAAAGTTTTAATCTTTCAGCTGATGAGGTACCTATGATGCAAAACTCGAAAAAATTATTTTATATGATTGAACTTTTTTTAGGTTTGGATACATCCATGCGATCTTATAAAACCAGAAGATACTGATATGTCTTTATGCACAAGTTATTATAGAGCATGGGCGACTAATATTATTCCAAAAAACAGTATTATGCATGAAATTGCCTCAAAAAATATAGAGTTTTTCAAACGTAGAATGGAAAAAGATAGTAAAAGTGCTAATATAGGAGACCTATGATTTTGTTTGTTATAACATATAAGTACATTTATTGTAAATTATTCAATAATCAAGATTTTCCAACACACATTGGTTTTATTCAACTATTCTTGCAACTTGTAAATTTCATTTGCCCACAAATGAAAATATGTTATACATTTTTGCAGAAATTTGTGTTCCTGTGTGCTGAAATGTAAAATAGAAATAACTGATTTTTGCTATCTCATTGAAGCCAATTAAATTCTATACAAATGTCTAAAAACGATGAAATTTCAATTCCCTTTTTGTTTGAGACTTTGTATCCTAATGGTCAATCAACATATCCCAAACTTCATATACAAAATTATTCTCAGATTTGAAGCCGAAATCTATGAAAAAAAACACTCAGAAAAATTGATAAATCACCCCAAATTGCTTAACACGATTGTTTGAAAATGATGAAATTCAGTGAAAAATTCAGCTTTCTATCTATAATAGAAAAAAAGTTATGACATTTCAAAGTTTTCCAAAATCTAAATCATAAGGTAGGTACCTTCTTACTGAAATGATGAAATTTCAAAATTTTTTTTGCCGAGATTTTGTATCCTAATGGTCAACCAACATACCCCAAACTCCATAGACTAAATTATTCTCAGAGTTGAAGCCGAAATCTATGAAAAAAGGCACTCAGAAAAATTGAAAAATTGATAAATCACCCCAAATTGCTTAACACGATTTTATCTCAGGAACTATAAGTGCAAATGAGCTGAATTTTTCAGGGATTGTAGTCCTTTGAAAATGATGACATTCAGTGAAAGATTCAGATTTCTATCTATAATAGAAAAAAAGTTATGACCTTTCAAACTTTTCCAAAATCTAAATCATAAGGTAGGTACCTTCTTACTAAAATGATGAAATTTCAAATTTTTTTTTGCCGAGATTTTGTATCCTAATGGTCAACCAACATACCCCAAACTCCATAGACTAAATTATTCTCAGATTTGAAGCCGAAGTCTATGAAAAAAGGCACTCAGAAAAATTGAAAAATTGATAAATCACCCCAAATTGCTTAACACGATTTTATCTCAGGAACCATATGTGCGAATGAGCTGAATTTTTCAGGGATTGTAGTCCTTTGAAAATGATGACATTCAGTGAAAGATTCAGCTTTCTATCTATAATAGAAAAAACGTTATGATCTTTCAAAGTTTTCCAAAATCTAAATCATAAGGTAGGTACCTTCTTACTAAAATGATAAAATTTCAAAATATTTATTGCCGAGATTTTGTATCCTAATGGTCAACCAACATACCCCAAACTCCATAGACTAAATTATTCTCAGATTTGAAGCCGAAATCTATGAAAAAAGGCACTCAGAAAAATTGAAAAATTGATAAATCACCCCAAATTGCTTAACACGATTTTATCTCAGGAACTATAAGTGCAAATGAGCTGAATTTTTCAGGGATTGTAGTCCTTTGAAAATGATGACATTCAGTGAAAGATTCAGCTTTCTATCTATAATAGAAAAAAAGTTATGACCTTTCAAAGTTTTCCAAAATCTAAATCATAAGGTAGGTACCTTCTTACTAAAATGATGAAATTTCAAAATTTTTTTTGCCGAGATTTTGTATCCTAATGGTCAACCAACATACTCCAAACTCCATAGACTAAATTATTCTCAGATTTGAAGCCGAAATCTATGAAAAAAGGCACTCAGAAAAATTGATAAATCACCCCTAATTGCTTAACACGATTTTATCTCAGGAACTATAAGTGCAAATGAGCTGAATTTTTCAGGGATTGTAGTCCTTTGAAAATGATGACATTCAGTGAAAGATTCAGCTTTCTATCTATAATAGAAAAAAAGTTATGACCTTTCAAAGTTTTCCAAAATCTAAATCATAAGGTAGGTACCTTCTTACTAAAATGATAAAATTTCAAAATATTTATTGCCGAGATTTTGTATCCTAATGGTCAACCAACATACCCCAAACTCCATAGACTAAATTATTCTCAGATTTGAAGCCGAAATCTATGAAAAAAGGCACTCAGAAAAATTGAAAAATTGATAAATCACCCCAAATTGCTTAACACGATTTTATCTCAAGAACTATAAGTGCAAATGAGCTGAATTTTTCAGGGATTGTAGTCCTTTGAAAATGATGACATTCAGTGAAAGATTCAGATTTCTATCTATAATAGAAAAAAAGTTATGACCTTTCAAACTTTTCCAAAATCTAAATCATAAGGTAGGTACCTTCTTACTAAAATGATGAAATTTCAAATTTTTTTTTGCCGAGATTTTGTATCCTAATGGTCAACCAACATACCCCAAACTCCATAGACTAAATTATTCTCAGATTTGAAGCCGAAATCTATGAAAAAAGGCACTCAGAAAAATTGAAAAATTGATAAATCACCCCAAATTGCTTAACACGATTTTATCTCAGGAACTATAAGTGCAAATGAGCTGAATTTTTCAGGGATTGTAGTCCTTTGAAAATGATGACATTCAGTGAAAGATTCAGCTTTCTATCTATAATAGAAAAAAAGTTATGATCTTTCAAAGTTTTCCAAAATCTAAATCATAAGGTAGGTACCTTCTTACTAAAATGATAAAATTTCAAAATATTTATTGCCGAGATTTTGTATCCTAATGGTCAACCAACATACCCCAAACTCCATAGACTAAATTATTCTCAGATTTGAAGCCGGAATCTATGAAAAAAGGCACTCAGAAAAATTGAAAAATTGATAAATCACCCCAAATTGCTTAACACGATTTTATCTCAAGAACTATAAGTGCAAATGAGCTGAATTTTTCAGGGATTGTAGTCCTTTGAAAATGATGACATTCAGTGAAAGATTCAGATTTCTATCTATAATAGAAAAAAAGTTATGACCTTTCAAACTTTTCCAAAATCTAAATCATAAGGTAGGTACCTTCTTACTAAAATGATGAAATTTCAAATTTTTTTTTGCCGAGATTTTGTATCCTAATGGTCAACCAACATACCCCAAACTCCATAGACTAAATTATTCTCAGATTTGAAGCCGAAATCTATGAAAAAAGGCACTCAGAAAAATTGAAAAATTGATAAATCACCCCAAATTGCTTAACACGATTTTATCTCAAGAACTATAAGTGCAAATGAGCTGAATTTTACAGGGATTGTAGTCCTTTGAAAATGATGACATTCAGTGAAAGATTCAGCTTTCTATCTATAATAGAAAAAAAGTTATGACCTTTCAAAGTTTTCCAAAATCTAAATCATAAGGTAGGTACCTTCTTACTAAAATGATGAAATTTCAAAATTTTTTTTGCCGAGATTTTGTATCCTAATGGTCAACCAACATACTCCAAACTCCATAGACTAAATTATTCTCAGATTTGAAGCCGAAATCTATGAAAAAAGGCACTCAGAAAAATTGATAAATCACCCCTAATTGCTTAACACAATTTTATCTCAGGAACTATAAGTGCAAATGAGCTGAATTTTTCAGGGATTGTAGTCCTTTGAAAATGATGACATTCAGTGAAAGATTCAGCTTTCTATCTATAATAGAAAAAAAGTTATGACCTTTCAAAGTTTTCCAAAATCTAAATCATAAGGTAGGTACCTTCTTACTAAAATGATAAAATTTCAAAATATTTATTGCCGAGATTTTGTATCCTAATGGTCAACCAACATACCCCAAACTCCATAGACTAAATTATTCTCAGATTTGAAGCCGAAATCTATGAAAAAAGGCACTCAGAAAAATTGAAAAATTGATAAATCACCCCAAATTGCTTAACACGATTTTATCTCAGGAACCATATGTGCGAATGAGCTGAATTTTTCAGGGATTGTAGTCCTTTGAAAATGATGACATTCAGTGAAAGATTCAGCTTTCTATCTATAATAGAAAAAAAGTTATGATCTTTCAAAGTTTTCCAAAATCTAAATCATAAGGTAGGTACCTTCTTACTAAAATGATAAAATTTCAAAATATTTATTGCCGAGATTTTGTATCCTAATGGTCAACCAACATACCCCAAACTCCATAGACTAAATTATTCTCAGATTTGAAGCCGGAATCTATGAAAAAAGGCACTCAGAAAAATTGAAAAATTGATAAATCACCCCAAATTGCTTAACACGATTTTATCTCAAGAACTATAAGTGCAAATGAGCTAAATTTTTCAGGGATTGTAGTCCTTTGAAAATGATGACATTCAGTGAAAGATTCAGATTTCTATCTATAATAGAAAAAAAGTTATGACCTTTCAAACTTTTCCAAAATCTAAATCATAAGGTAGGTACCTTCTTACTAAAATGATGAAATTTCAAATTTTTTTTTGCCGAGATTTTGTATCCTAATGGTCAACCAACATACCCCAAACTCCATAGACTAAATTATTCTCAGATTTGAAGCCGAAATCTATGAAAAAAGGCACTCAGAAAAATTGAAAAATTGATAAATCACCCCAAATTGCTTAACACGATTTTATCTCAGGAACTATAAGTGCAAATGAGCTGAATTTTTCAGGGATTGTAGTCCTTTGAAAATGATGACATTCAGTGAAAGATTTAGCTTTCTATCTATAATAGAAAAAAAGTTATGATCTTTCAAAGTTTTCCAAAATCTAAATCATAAGGTAGGTACCTTCTTACTAAAATGATAAAATTTCAAAATTTTTTTTGCCGAGATTTTGTATCCTAATGGTCAACCAACATACCCCAAACTCCATAGACTAAATTATTCTCAGATTTGAAGCCGAAATCTATGAAAAAAGGCACTCAGAAAAATTGAAAAATTGATAAATCACCCCAAATTGCTTAACACGATTTTATCTCAAGAACTATAAGTGCAAATGAGCTGAATTTTACAGGGATTGTAGTCCTTTGAAAATGATGACATTCAGTGAAAGATTCAGCTTTCTATCTATAATAGAAAAAAAGTTATGACCTTTCAAAGTTTTCCAAAATCTAAATCATAAGGTAGGTACCTTCTTACTAAAATGATGAAATTTCAAAATTTTTTTTGCCGAGATTTTGTATCCTAATGGTCAACCAACATACTCCAAACTCCATAGACTAAATTATTCTCAGATTTG